AAAGCACTTTGCACCTGAGTTACTGTTAAAGAGCACGGGTTCTGGAGCATTTCAGGCTTGATCTCAGCCAAGTTAACATCTCCTGAACTCAGTTTTCTGTAGAATAAAAGGAATAAGAATATCTATCTTGTAGGACTGTAGTGAGGAATAAGCTAAATTGGAAATGGTATTTGGGGCCTAGATCATCAGAAGAGTCCAACTATTGAGAGTCATAATTACTAACCTATTCATTGGACTTCTCACCCTCAAGGGTCAAGGTGGAAGCCCAATGCAGAGACAGCAACACCGGCCCGGGAACTGGGCTCTGTAAACAGCTGGGTGACCTTGGGCAGGTCGCTGATTCTTCCCAAACTTTGGGTTCCCGCGGTAACAAATGAGGGCACCGCAAGAGAGGACCCCCAGGCTCCCACCAGCTCTTCCGCTCCACCGCTAAGGCCGCCGGACCACCGGCCGCCCGCTCCCCTGCCCGCCCCGAGGGCCCGCGACTCAGAATCCCTGCTGCTCCGCTCCCTTCGCGGCGCGGCGGCAGGAGAGCCCGCGTCTTCCTTCCGCAGAGATGCTTCCATACCCGCCGCCGCCGCTGGCTCCATCAGCAACTCGCATGGGCAGCCGCTCGCTGCCCACGGTTTCCCGCGATCCGGAGACCCCTCGTGGGCCAAGCTCGGAAGACCGGGGCTGGGGGCGCCGAGCCGAGGCCCGGCCCCGGGAATCCGCAGGCGCCCCCGCGGCGGGGCGGGGAGTGACAGGTGCACGCGGCGGGCGCGGGGGACCCGGGGGGAGGGGGCGTGTGGGCGCGCGGGGGAGGCGGCGGCCGCGCTCCCCTCAGGCCGCCGCCGCCGCGCTCCCGGCCTCACGACCCTCGCTCCGCTCAAGGCCGCGCGACGCCCGGGCCCGGGCCCGGGTTCAAACCCGCGGCGCCTGGGAAGCCTGAGACGCCTCGGGGCGGCCGCGTGTGCCGGCCCTTCCCGCGCGAACCGGGGCTCCGGGCGGGGGACGCAAGCGCACCCGCACGCGCCGCCGTAACCCCTTCCTCCCCGCGCGCCCCGCAGCCCGGGCCCCCCGCCCCTCACTCACCGTGGATGTCCCCCAGGGTCAGCTCGTCGCCCAGCTCCGTGAGCGTCTCCATGATCTCCAGACCGCCCAGCTCGCCGCTCTCGTCCATCGTCAGGCTCGGCGCGGAGGCCTCCCTGCCGGCCTGTTCAGGGACTCGCGAGGGTGGTGCCGCCGCCGCCACCACCCATGACACCCCACAGCCTCCGCCCGGTACCGCCTCACCGGCCGGAGCCACCCTCCGCCATGTCTGCGCCGCGCAGGAGGGGCGGGGCGGGATTCCCCCGCCCCCGCCGCGGCCCCGCCCCCGGGCCGCACGCACTCCTATTTATTGTCAATGGGGCCAGGCGCGGCGCAGCCAATCAGCGCGGCGAGCGGCGCGTGGGGTGATGGCGCGTCAGCGATCAGCAGCTCCGATTTGCATAGAGAGGCCACGCCCCCCGCGGTCTGGTAGGACCGGCGAAGGGAAGTCTCCCGGTCCTCGGCCCAACCGCCTTCCCCTAGATTAAAGGAGCCGCTCTCTTTTCCGCTGGGTCTGCTCCGCCAGCTATTCCATCCATCCGCCAGTAATTGAAGGGTTAACACGCTCCCCCCGGGCCCGCGGGTCGGACCCCCACTCCCAGCCAGCTGTAAGTACATTACGTCATCTTCCCAGCTGCCCCTGCCTCCCACCTCGCCCTGCCCGCCTGGGGGAGAGCCGGTGGAATCGAACCTGGGTCCCTGAGGAGTATGGAGACCATTCAAATCGCGTTTCTCCCACTCCCTTACAAAGGCGGAAACGGAGGCTCGACGTGGACCGTAAATTATCCAAAACCTCTGCGTCTTCGCACCTGCCTCGAACACCGCCTTCTTCCTCTGGTTATCCCCTCCACCCACCGACACACAAGCACCCCGCCGCCTGCAGACCTTTAAAACAACGCCAGTGCTCGGGCCACCCCGAGCCTCGCGAGGTGGGGCGGCGTGAGCATTTTGACAAAATTCCGCAGGAATTCTGACGCGCAGCCACCCACAGATTCCCACTCCTTCAGGTACCCACTGCTCCATCTTGCAGCTGGTTACGACGTAAGCAAATGTGCAGACTTCGTTTATCCTGAGTACCAGTGCTCAGTGCTCAAAGAACGCCAGTGTGTGTGTGTAAAGACTCTCATCCCAAAGTCTAACTGGGAAATTGGGAAGCCAATTGAGGAACTGGATGAATAATTGCATCCACACAATGGAATGCCATGCATCATTTAACATTACATAAATAATTGTATAACTACTGACAGCCTTTGGCAATATATTGTTAAAAGGGAAAAGTATGTTCCCTTTAAACGAGAGGCAGCTGTTGCTCAAACCTTACAAGCACACAGGCCGTGAGGAGGCAGACATGTGGACCCACTTATGCAGTGTGACCTTGGGCAGTTTAGCTGTTCTAAGCCTTAGTTTTGCCATCTCTAAAATGGGAATAGTGTCCACTCATAGTTGTGAAGATTAAATGGGATCATCTGCACATTCTTTGATAATATTTATTGAACACCTCTGTGGCAGGCAACTATCGATAGAAATAGTTCCTGTCTTCTGAGAGCTTCCAGTCTAGTGAACAACCGTTAAACAAACAAACAAACAAAAAACCTAGACAATAAATAGTACAAGTGATCAGAAAAAAGTAATGGGGTGTGATGAAACTAACAAGGGATCTGACTTGGGATGTCAGGAAATCCTTCCACATTTACTAGTAAGATGAACCCTGACGTCATGAGGAGAGAACTGCATATGGTGTTGGTGTAGCTGGGGCAACAGACAACATGGACAAGGACCCGGAGGCAGCAGACGCTGCTGCCAGCCAGCAGTTAGTAAGGCCTGGCATGCAGTAAGTGCCCACACAAAGCAGCTACTGTGATTGAAAAGAACGGGGATGTACATGCTCACATGAAAGGCAAATGGACGCAAGGCACAACAGCTGACTGTCAGTCATGGTTATGGGAATGGTGGGTTTAGGACAAATTTTACTTTCTTCTTGATATTTCAGTATACTTTTTATAATGAATTGTATAACATAAATAGTCTTATTTTGGGGTGGGAAAGATAGGACTGTTCTCATTGTTTACAGAATAGATTGGTATTGATTATACTGGTCTCACTCTGAAACAGGAAACTGAACGCAAGGCACTAAGCTGGACAATGTGACCTTCAACTGTGGCTCACAGGGCTCCCTCTACTGGGGGCGGGGGATGGGGAGGGAGACCATCCGCTGGCCTACCCTATGACTCACTGGTCCAGTACCCTCTCATTCCAGTCTCAGTAACCCCCCACAGGAGGCTGTAGATAAGCATGTCAAACTCGCTGCCAATGAACCATGAATTTGACATGCTTGCTGTAGAAGCATCAGGTTAGGTGGGTGGACACAACTGTTGCCACAGCTCCCAGCTGGACCTGCCCAGAGGCCTGGGCTCCTAGCGAAGTAGCCTGAGGAAGCACAAATGAAACCTCGGTGAAAAGTGCAAAAGGGAAGGTGGTGGCACTGGACCCAGCCTTAGCAAATCACTGACCTTCTCCCCTGGCCCTGGCTTCTCACCCAACTTAACAGCTCTTCCCGTGGGCACCCTGCCTTGGCGGGGAGAACTGAGGCTGGCTCCCAGGGATAGAGCAGCCTCGGACAAGTCCCTCCTCAGGACCTGGATTTTTTGTATGAAGAGGGAGGGCTGGACCAGATGACCCTTGTGTCCCGACACCCACCACAGACTGGCACTTACTACAGGCCACAGAAGAGAGCTTGGCGTGTTTTTCATTGACTGCTTTTGATGCCTCCCCTTGTAGGCCTCTGCCCAGTGTCTATCTCCTCCCTCCTCCCCCATCTTTCGGGATTCAGTTCAGATATTGTTTCCTCTAGGATTAAGCCAAAATATGTACCCCGTGGTTTAACGCAGGGTAGACTTCAGGGTGGAAAGTAACCTTTGGTTTTGGTTTAAGTTGAAACAAGGATTGAGGCTTATCAGGTGACAACAGGGCAAGTGCCATCAGCTTTGTGGTCTTAGAGCAGGAGTGGGGGACATCCAGCTTGTGGGTCTAATCATTTGGTCTGGCCCTGCCAAGGCATTGGGGTGAGTTAATTAAATGTTTGACCAAATATACCAGGCTAATTTTTTGTTGTTGTTAATCCTCGCCCAAGAATATTTTCTCCATTGATTTTTAGAGGGAGTGGAAGGAAGAGGGAGAGACAGAGAGAGAAACATAGATATGAGAGACACATTGATTGGTTGCCTCCCACGCATCCCAAGCAGGGCCAGGGGTCGAGCCAGAAACCGAGGTACGTGCCCCTGACTGGAATTGAACCCAGCACCCTTCAGTCTGAGGGCCGATGCTCTAACAACTGAGTAAAACCGGCTAGGGCAGCAGGCTAATTTTTAAGTTGATAATTTTGTATGGCTGGAGAATGACCTTATAAATATCCTTGGCATCATCATTTGCAGCAACCTGGATGGAATTGGAGAACATCATGCTGAGTGAAATAAGCCAATCAATGAAAGAGAAACACCACATGACCTCACTCATTTGTGGATGATAAAGAACATTATACTGTCTCTATATCTATCTTTTGGTTCATCTTCTGATGAACCAAAAGATAGATATAGAGACAGTATATCAACAAGTAGACTGTCAAATTATAGCGGGGAGGGGAGGAAGATCTGGGGGAGATAATAGATCAACCGAAGGACTTTTATACATGCATATAAGTACAACCAATGGACACAAAACTCTGGGGAGGGAGGGGATGTGTGGGAGGGAGGGAAGGGGGCAAAAAAAAATCAATAAAATATATTTTAAAAAATAAAATACCCTTTGGTAGAAAAAATAAATAAATAAAACACCTAATTAAAAAAAATAAAAATAAATAAATATCCTTGGCAGAAAAAAGATTCCCTATCCCAGTCTTAGAGGATGCAGCTGTCAAGAAGAAGGAAGGAGAAACTAAGCCAGTAAACTCTTTATTTAGGGCGCAGGTAAGGAAAGAGAAACCGGGAAGAGACAGAGCAGACTTAGACCAAGGGCAGAGAACAAGGACAGCACAGTGGCCCCGAGGCCTGGGAGGATCCTCAGGAACTGTCACAGCATTTCTGGGCAGTGACGGACAGCCCAGGAAGACGTGAGGCTGAGATAAGGAGGAAGAAGGGTTGTGGCCGGGAAGGTTTTGCCCCCAGGGGACATCCAGCACTGTCTGGAGACAGGTTTGGTTGTCATAACTGGGAGATGACAACAGACATCTACTGAGCCAAGAATGCCACTAAGCATCTCACATACACAGACCTCCTCACAACAGAGAATTATCTGTCCCAAATGTGAGCAGAGCCCTGCCTTAGGGGATACTGGGAGCGCCCAGATTTTCCACGATGTCTCAGATCGTGTCTGGAAGCTCGACAGACAGGAACAACGTCCAAGACCATGCTGAACGCACCAATGAAGACATCACTGTTGGCACCAGCAGGCACCCTTGGGGCTGGTCTGGCCACTAGGAATCCCCCTGGCCCCTGGGGGCCACTGTTTCCACCACCACACTCACATGGTGCATCTGGTTAGTGGCACTTCAGTCACAGAACTGAATGCTTGCTGCAAGGAGGCTGGACAAACGGAATACCCTAGGACGTCTGCGGCTCCCAGCAGGGGAGTGGACAGGCTCTGCCTACAGCGTGACTCAAGGTGGAGCTTCAGAAACAAGTGGCCACACAATCAACAGTGCAGCAAAGGGAAAGAGACGGGGGGAAGCAGGGTAGTTCTGTTTGTTTGTCTGAAGGTGTCAGATGGGAAAATATGGAACCATTTGAAGATGGAGAGGAAGAGATCAACCAAGATGGAGAGAAGCTAAAGGTGTCAAAGGAAGAGCCCAGGAGGATGAAGGTACCAGATGGGGCAGAGGTGAAGATGGGTAAGACTGGACCCCTCTCTTTGGCTGGGCTTACAGTGGGTGCTCAGCAAACCTATGGGATGAATGAAGAACCATCAGAGAGGGACACCTGTCATTGAGAAGCCAGGACCAGCCTTGGAGAAGCAGTCCCTATGTTATCATGTTCCCTTTGCCAGTGAAGCTACGGAACAGAGAAGGGTGGACCAGGGTCACTCAGCAAGCCTGATGGGCTGAGACAAGACTCGGGTCTCCCTTGGCTGTGGTGGTGGTGGTGGTGGTAGGTTCTGGGGTGGTTATGTCTCCCCTTTTAAGAAGCAGACCCTGGCTTTGGAAGGTCAAAGAGACAGAGCGGGGAATCCCACCAGTTGGGCAGAGCACAACTGAAGGCAGCTGCTCACTCAGGCCCCTGCAGCTTCCCTGCCTTATGACCACGGATCCCTCCTGAGCCGGAGAGCTCACGGTGACTGATCCAGCGTGGGGCAGCCCTGCCATTACAGTGCAATCTCCTGCAGCCCCCGGGCTGAGGGTCTCCGGCATTGCCAGAAGGGACAGCTGGCTCTTTCCTGCGCCTGTTCTAAGACTGTCCCGTTAGCTGAGGATAGAGATCATGTGGCTCCAAGGTCAACTTGGATAAACACCCACCCAGGACACACCCAGTCCCTTTCCAACACTGACCTTCAGCAAGGACAGAGCAGAGAGTGGATTAGGAGGCACAAGCCAAGCCCCTGCTTTGCTGCCCGGCCAGAGCCTGGGCTCCCTGAAGCAGAACATCCTCCACGGTGCTCTCTACCCCTCTGTGGGCCTCTGGTTCCCCAACCCAGGCCCTCGCCGCCTGCCTGGCAAAGGCCTCACAGCTCCCTAGGGCCAAAACCAGCCTTGATTTGCCCAGAGAGTTTGCTGACTTTTATTGTGTCTGCAGGGGCTGGGACTTGTGCCGTGTGGCTCAGTGACACGGTGCAGCCAGCAGTGGTGTGGCACCTCCACACGCGGCTCAGACCCTGGTTCTGCTGCCTCCCCATGAGCAGCAGCAGCCAGCAAGCATCAGTATTAACCCAGTAGGAGGGTCCAGCCCTGCACCCCTCCGGCCTCCCCAGCATCTCCCCAGAGTTGTTTGCAGCACAGGGAGGCCTGGGAGGAAACCAGCCTTCTGTGGCCGTCCCTGCAGCTGGGCTCCTCCACGCAGCTCCCGGGGGCCAAGCAAACATGGCCTCCCTTCGCACAGGTGCCGGCTCTCACCACCGGCCAGACAGCACCGCTTCACCTTGGCCACGCTCCTCCTCCTCTTCCTCCTGGCCCCTTGAACCTCGGGCTGCCACGGGGCTATAGCTCGGATTGGGATCGCGAGATCCGCGGGCCTTTTCGGATCTCTTTCCGCTTCTCCTCTTTTTTCCGCCGTTTCTCCTCTTCTCTCAGGGCCTTCTGGAAAGGGTCGGTGCTAGAAATGATCTGGGGGAAGAGAGAGTGGTCTGACTTAGTCCACTGGCAGCAGTTCACTCCGAGCTAGCGCACTGCAGGGACAGGAGGGTTGCTTAGACGCAGGCCCTGCCCTCAGGGAGCCAACAGATGTGGAGGTGGCTAAACGGGCTTGGGGACAAGGCTAAGTGGGTTCTGAAAGATAAGCGAGAGGCTGACAGTAGAGGGTGAGGGCAGGAGGACATTCGGGCACAGGGACAAGTACCAAGGTGTGAACAAGCACGGGTACCAGAGGAATGATAAACAGAATCCTTCCCGAGCGAGGGCCGAGTGCCCGACAACCGCAGACCACCCCCCACGCCCTGGCTGCCATACCCCTGCGGAGGAGGGGGAGCAGCCAGCGGGAATAAGAGACAGCAGGCATCCTGTCTCGGCAAGGGAGTGCCCAGGAAGCAGGTGGATCAGAGGTCACACTGACAGACCCTGGAAGGGGGCGGGAGAAAGAGAAGACAATAGTGCCAGGTTCATGGCTCCACAGAGGGTGGATGGCGGGGCCGGTGAGGAAACGGGAACACAGGGTGAACAGGGATGGGAGGAGGAGGAGGACTTTGACTGGGGGTACTCTTCTCCCTCTGCTCGCTCCAAACCCATGGCTTCATTTATGTCTATATGGCCAGTTACCCCTCATATGTGCACCTCCATATCCAAGTGCCTGCTTGGCACGTCCCCTGGGATGTCTCAAATGTGCCCCCAACTTGGCATGGCTCCATCTCCTCAAAACCCAGCCCCTTCTAGCGTGGACCAAGATAGGAAATATGATATGCCTCTGAAAATGTTGTAAAAATGCCCTTGTCCCATTCACATCTGACCCTTCTGGACAAAGATCTGGTGAAAGTAAGGGGTGATCAGTGAAAAAGTGACATTACAGGTCCTGGGATATGACATGCTGATCTTGTAGCAATAATCCCAGCGCCTAGTGAGAAAACGCCTTAGATCCCAAGAGACATGGGGAATAATTAATCCTCTTTGGCCTGATATCCAGCACTGCCACTTGGCAAAACAATCCTAGGGTCTGCCCAAGCCAAGTGGCAGCTGCAGATGACCATCTGACCGACTGCTGGATGTGTCATTCTTGACCACGTGATGACTGAACCATTCGGTGTGCCCGAGGCCATCAAAGCAGCTCCTGAAGTGACCCTGGGAAGACACCCATGCCAGTGCGATCTTCTTTCAATCTGACAGATACAAACCCATCTTCTTCTGATGCCCGAGTGGTCTGAGGTTCTATCATGTAGGGTAAATGAGGCTGCAACTCCACAGTGACACTTAGGATTCAGCCAAAGAATGTAATGGGGACCCAAATCCAGTGTAATGTGGGAGACAGTGGCCACGGAGTATCTCTCCACTAGGGATGAGGGTAGCTGTGGGTCTATCTCCTGCCCTTGTCATTACTAGCAGTAACATCAAAGATCAGCAGGTCAGTCTAAACTCTGTGTGGGTGGTAATGAATAATAGATTGGCCTTAGACCACACCCAATTGTCTAAAATAAGACCTACTGGTCTCCCCAATACTGACCACAGCCGGCTGAGTCCAGGATCCTGGAGCACACAGCTGAGATCAACCCTGCAGGCTGGCCTCACCCTGCGGCTTGTCCTGTGGATGGCGGCCTTAATTAGATGCAGAATGAGACAAATGGAACGAACAAGATTCTAGCCCCTGTCAGTCAGATTGACAGACTGAATAGTACATTCATGGAATCGGAGTTAAGCCAAGACACGCAGGGCGGAGGAATGGCCTGTGGAGGAGGCAATCGACATGGGCTGAGCATCCCTGCTCTTGCTGGATACACCAAGAACGCAAAGCCCTGCCCACTCTGCACCTCGGCCATTTCTCAGGATTGTGCCTGCAGGAATCTTGAAGGATGAGGAGATATCTCTCCCCAAACAAAGAGCAGGTTTACTTCTGTTTGCTATAAATTGGTAAGCTTCCCAGGCTTAGTAGTTTTCAGCTATGACGCTGTCTGTCTGGCATCCACCGAGCCCCTCTGTGTCACTCATGTGGGACTCAGAATAAGGGGAACTAACATGACCAGTCCAACAGTCTAGCCACGGCTTTCGCTGTAGTAAACTCTGATGCCTCTGACCTGTCAGTATCCGTGCAAGCAGGGTATATAATCTGACAGCCCTCACCGATCCTGACCCCTTTCCCCTCCTCAGAGCAGGGGCCAGCCTGTGATTTGAGGAGTCCAGTCCTCCAGCCCTTCTTTCCTATCCCTCTGGCCCCTCTGATCTCCTCCTCTCCTCTACTGTATGTGTCCCCGTCTGTTATCCTACCCACAGCCTCAGCCTGAGAGCCCTCAGCCCCCTGGAATGACCACATGTGCAGGAATGTAGGATGGAAGCCCGGCTGGGTGGTTAGTGGCTCCAGGACAGAGAAGAGCATGACTTGACCTCCCCTGGCTTCCCTCACATCCACCTGATGTGGGTGCCTACTGTTCACAGCCTCTGCTGCCCCCACAGCTGGGGTGCACATCCCATGAACAGACAGGTGGCCTGAGGCTAAGACAAGGGCAGTGGCTTGCCCAAAGGCACTAGTAAGTGAGTAATGGTTCCTGGATCCAGACCCAGGCACGTCTGGCCCCAAGTCCAAAGCCCTCACACTCCCCCACAGGCACCCCAGCCCCTGCAGGGCCTGGCTTCCCGGGGCCCAGCAGCAGCAGGAGAGACACGGCACAAGCCCCAGAGCTCACCTCTGTGTGGTCCACTTTAAATGGGTTCTGGAAGTCAGAGTCTTTCTCGCTGATCCCCAGCTCCTGGGCCATCTGCAGACGAGGAAGAGTGAGTCATCCTCTGCCTTCTCCTGCCTCTTGCTCACCCGAGCCACTCCCTCCGCTTGGAGCCCAGGGCCCAGGACTGCGGGCCAGGCGATGGCCCACAGGGACCCGGGTCAGCAGAACCCCTTGAGATGGCACCTCAAGGTGCCTTAAGGCTTGTCACAGAAAACGCAACCGAGAGCTGACACTCAGGCCCAGCTGCAGGCGGCTGCGAGGCTCACAGGACACTGGGAGACAGGACTCCGGACCGTCCCCGCCCCAGGCCTCACCAGGCTGAGGATGGGCGAGTGGGGCCCCTGGTCAAAGACGCCCGACTGGTTGCAGAAGCTGATGCCCCAGCGGATGAGGAGGTTCCAGTTGGAGTTGTGGTCGAAGTAGTGGTGCACGATCCGCGGGAAGCGCAGCACCACGTCGCCGAAGAAGGCCGTGTTCTCCAGCACCTGGGAGAAAGCTGGTGAGAGGAGCGGGGTGAGTGCCAGGGCAGATGCCCCACTGCCCTCCTGGCCAGCCCCAGCACTCTCCGACGATGGAGGCAAGCCTGCCAGGCCCAGGAAGCAGAGAACGGACAGTTGTGCCAAGGGCTTTGTGTCCACCAAACCACCTTTAGAGGGAGATATGGTGGCGTTCCCCTTTCACCCGGGAGAAAGTGAGTGGCAGATCTGGGCTGAGAACCCAGCTCGGACTGACTGCAAAGGCCCTGCTCTTCCCCCCGCATCTCACGGCTCAGAAGGCTCATTTGCTGTGGGGACCAGAGTGGTGGGTGTCATTCTGCACCAGGAGGCAGATGCATCACATGAGGCTTTGTTGGGGCTTACGCTCCCCAACTTAGTATCCAAATGTCAAGAGCCTGGTGTTAGCACAACCACAGTGTCTGCGAGGGGTCAGGGCTGTTAGCATGGCCAGGGAACATGACAGGCTTTGTTTTTAAAAAATATCCTTCCAATTTTATTTAATTTTAAATACTTCGTAAGTACTTATTTTGAAATAATTTTAGACTTACACAATACACCACAAAATCCCTTCCCTGGGCTTCCTCTATTGTTATCTTACATAACCACTGTACAACTATCTACACCAGGAAGTTCACATCGATACAATACATCCACAGGCCTTATTTGAATTTCATCAATTTCTCCACTAATATCCTTCCTCTTTTTAAAAAATATATTTTATTGCTGAAACCGGTTTGGCTCAGTGGTAGAGCGTCAGTCTGCGGACTGAAGGGTCCCAGGTTCGATTCCGGTCAAGGGCATGTGCCTTGGTTGCGGGCACATCCCCGGGAGGGGGTGTGCAGGAGGCAGCTGGTCTGTGTTTCTCTCTCATCGACGTTTCTAGCTCTCTCTCTCTCCCTTCCTCTCTGTAAGAAATCAATAAAATATATTAAAAAAAAAAAATATATATATATATATATATATATATATATACACACACAATTTTTTTATTTTTTTTACAGAGTGGAAGAGAGAAGAATAGAGAGTCAGAAACGTCGATGAGAGAGAAACACAGACCAGCTGCCTCATGCACACCCCCTACCGGGGATGTGCCCGCAACCAAGGCACATGCCCTTGACCGGAATCGAACCTGGGACCCTTCAGTCCACTGGCTGACGCTCTACCACTGAGCCAAACTGGTTAGGACAATATCCTTCCTCTTGTCAACAGGTCAGTCTAGACTGAATTTAGTGTCCACCATGGTGGCAGGTCCCCCGACCCAGGTCACATGAAGAGTAAGTGTAGACCCAGCCCTGGTGGCAGCTCCTGTTCCAGTGCCCGCAGGCAAGGCCCAGGCAGCCTCAGCAGCACAGGCCAGGCCACGCACAGAGAGAAGCAGACTCCTCCAAAGCTATGCCCCGCGGGGTCTGAGCCATGTGGGACCAGACCCCTGGGCTTCGAACCATCTTGCACTCAGGAGTAAGCTTGACTTACAGGTTAAGAGCCAAGTTACATGTATAACTTCCTCAGTTACAGAGGAGATTAGAGATGCTATTTGTAAAAGTGCCCACCATTCAGTATGTCAAGGCCACTGCCATCCTCTCTCAGTATAATAAAAGAAGTTTTATTATTAAAATACCATCAGTTCATCAGAAAATTACTACCGGAGGGAAATTCTTGGAAGAGGGAATAAAGGAACCCAGAATAGTCTTTTACCTTATTTATCTCCTAGAGGCCCGGTGCACAAAGATCGTGCAAGGGGCTCGGCCCTCACAGCCCCGGCTGCCTTGGTTCCCCCAACCCCCTCCCACTGGTGGTTCCGCTGTCGGATCTAATTAGCAGATTAGCTCTTTATTATATAGGATGTTTGTCCCACTAGTCTCAAAAAGGATTTAAGGAGGTTGAGGCCTTTAGAACAGTAGTAAGGAGTGTGGGAACTGCCCCCACTGTCCAGTCACTTCAGTAGGCCTGGTTTTTCTCCTGGAAATGCAAACAAGCCTGGCCTTCCCTACCAGAAGGATCAGGGGTAGAGAAGGCAAGGACCCCCAGCGGGGTAGCGGACAGAGCTTCCTCCCTGGTTCCTGTGCTCCAAGCACAGGGCAGCACAAAGGAATACATCGTGCAGGGTCACAGACATTGGCTCTGAAGCCAGGAACTCTTAGAGAACCGAATACTAAGTGCTTATCCACCGAAGGGGACACTTGGGAGGGGCCACAAGAGGGTGTTTCCCGAGAGAGAAAAGAGTGACAAAAACAGGAGGGAAGAAACAACTAGAGAAGACTGAGGTGGTGGGGAGGAGAGGGAGCGATCAGGAAGACCTACCGTCCTTCAGTTTCTCGTCCTGGGGGAGGGGCCCTTCTGGGAGCACGTCCGCAGCAGTGAGCACTGTCCGGGAGTCCTCCAGCACCTGAGGGAACCCCACCGGCTGAGCGGCTTTGCAGAGGCCTTCACAGCCCAGCCACAGCCGTTTCCTTAAACCCCACTTCAAATCTTCTGTGCACGCAGTGCCCTCTGAGTGAACACCATCCCGTTAACGAACTGCTACTCATCCTTCAGTGCCCAGGTCAGAGACCAGGCCCGCCACGAGCTGCCCGGCGCCTGCGTGCACCTTAAAGAGCCCCTGGAGCATGACGTCCAGGATCTTGTACTGCTGGTGGACATCGTTCAGCTGCACCAGGTTCTTCAATGCCAACAGCTGCTCCCGCCGCTTCACCTCAAACAGCTTCTTGTCTGGGCAGCATGGAGTGAAGGAGCTGGCACTGATCCTTCTGCCTGGACGATCCCGCGGTGCCAGCCCAGAAGGCCCACTCCTGACCAGCAGATGTCTGCAAAGGCCACCAGCGCCCAGGTCTGAGGCGCTCCCTCCCGGAGAGTAACAAACGGAGAAGCTTGCCTCCTGCCATGTTTCGTGTGTCCAGTGGACAGAGGATTCCATACCCAAGAGCCTGAACACAACCCTTCAGGCCTCGCTCCCGTACTCCTTCCCCATAATCTTCCCACCATCTCCCGCAACTCTGCCCGATCCCCAGGTCTCCGCTGCTCTGCTCACACTGCACACTCTGCCTGGGATGCCCCCAACCCTTCTCTATGAGTTTTGTGGGGGTTTTGTCCTTACCGAAGTATATGTTTTTATCGATTTTGGAGAGAGGAAGGGAGAGAAAGCATCCATGTGTGAGAGAAACATCTATCGGTTGTTTCCTATACACACCCAGGGATCGAGCCCACAACTAGGTATGTGCCCTGACTGGGAACCGAACCTGCAAACTCTTGGTATACAGGTGACTACAACTGAGACACACGGCTAGGGGTCTATGAGCTTTTGTTCTTTCAAGACCTAGTTCAAAAGCCAGCACCGTGTTTCTCTCATGTTCCCTCCTCAGAGCAGTGATCACAAAGTACAATGTGAGGCTGTGAAGGCCTCAGAGCCAGGGACTGACTCATCTTTGTGTCCCCAGGTCCCGCACCAGAGTAGGTGGCCCAGAATCCCAGGGCCTGAGCCCCTGACCAGGGTCTCGCCACAGTGTACTAGGCACATATGTACTATTCTCAGAGTCCTTGTGGCTCTGAGAGGTGTAAATTGCCTTCTCTGTTTAACGAAATAGAGAAACTGAGGCTCAGAAGGCAGTGGACTCGATCAAGGTTTGATGAGGGCACCTTACCTTTTCTCTCCTATTCCCACCAGTTGAGCCTCATCCATCCCCAGAAAGTCCCCCAGCCATAGCCATTAACTGCACCTCCAACCACGAAGGATACAGATCTCCAGGCTTGGGTCCACGGAGGTCCTCTGGGTGTCTGTGACTCTTGTCCCACACACGAGCAGGACAAACAGGAAGACTAAGAACTGCAAAAGGTCCATATCCACGACCCTGGAGCGAGGAGAGTAATCCAGAGAAAGGAGGTGAGACCCGAGCATGGTGTTATATGAACAGAGTGAGGTGAGCTGAACTCCTCCTGACATGACAGTTTCCAAATACCAAGAACCCAGCTTTGGAAAGTCTGGAGCCCCAGTGCCTAGCCCAGGGCCCGTGACCAGCACACACAATAAAGACTGTGGGACAGAAGGTGGAGGAAGCAAGATAAATGTCAGCAGTGTAGGGGTGCTTAGAGCACAGGGGTCAGAGTCTGGAATGTCAGGCAAATTGCTCAGCCTCTCTAAGTCTCAGCTTCCTCACTATAAAATAACAATAAGGAGGTCACACCCTGCTTCTGAGAGGGAGGACTGGGTGAGGCACTGTACCTGGGGAAGGTGGGGCTGGTCAGTGTCATTCCTTTTCAACCCCCCCCCCCCCTTACTTCATTTTGGCTCCCAGGAGAGTAACTGGTTAAGGGGGTCCATCAGTCGGAGGGGATGTGTTTCCCTCCTTCCCTGACTTCTGTCATCAGAAAGGAAGGGACACAGGGCAGGAAGGAAGGCAGGGCGGTCTTGGGGTAAAAGAGATGCTACTCTCTCACTCTGGTACCATAGGCACCATAAGCAACATCTATTCCTATTCAGGCAACGTTCTGAGTACCTCCCATGTTCCAGGCCCTGTTTTGGAGCAGGGAATACAGCATTGAATAAGACAAAACTCCCTGCACTCAACGTAGTTATTTTCCTAGTAGGAGTAAGAGATAACCAATAAACTTGTAAAACCAACACAGAAGAATGAGGGCGTTGGTGGGGTGCAATATTACAGTGGCCAAAGAAGGCCTCAGACTCAGATGACAGGGGCCCAATTTTACTGGCGTGGAAACAGAAAAGTGAGCTAACTGCCCAGTTACTCAGCTATTCCCAGGCTAAACCGAGTCTCAATGAGCAGTCTATTTCAGAGCAGGCCACGCCCAAGGGAGAGATGGTCAGCGACTGACAGGTCACCTGAGAACCAGCCCCACCCCACACAGAGGATATAACGGAAACCCAGAGAAGGAAAAGCAGTGCAAGTTGTTCACCACGACTCACCTACTTCCAATGTCACGTTCCAGACTCAAGGGAACCGGACACAAACTAGAGCAGAACTCGGGGCCAGGCGGGTAGCAGACAGCAGGTAATGACTGAAGCAGGGGAAGAAGGGAAAAGAAAGCCATTGCGTGGGGAGGATTCTGCCTTCTCCACTGTGACTCCCGCTCACCGCCCTGGAGCTCTTTCCAGCTACCTGAGCGCATCCTGCAAGAGGCGTGTGGGGCGGTCCCTGGGCCAGGGCCCCGGGCTGGCGGACCCCGATTTCTGTCCCCAGTCTTTGGGGCTCCGGGAGGAGAGGAGTCTTTCCAAAGAGAAGAGGCGTCTCTTACCTCCCACTCTGGCAGCCGGTTCAACCTCGGTCTCCACGCCCCCACCAGGAGCCTACCCGCCCGGAGTTCCCACTTTCACCACCAGGCCCGGGGAGCAAGGGGCAGCTGGCAGGCCCTCGGCGTGCGGCTCGCAGGTCCGTCCTGAGACCAGCAAAGGCGCAGACCTCCACCGCACCCGGGAGCCGCAGCGCTGGGACTGCCGGCGCCGCCCCGCCCCCGCGCCGCTGCCGGCCAATGAGCGCGGGCCGCGCCGCTGCCGGCCAATGAGCGCGGGCCGCGCCGTCGCGCCGGTGACCTCCTTCCGGGTCCGCCCGCCGGGCCCTGAGACTACGCGCGCGAGGTCCGCAGGAGAATCGTTCCTGCCACCTGCGTCGGCTCCGGCGTGTGGTGCTGGGTCCGGAGGAGCTTGAAGGAAGTCAGGTCGGCGCCCAACTTAAAGGGCGCGTCAGCACTCGGGCCCTGACCAGCCGGGCGCCCGCCCCGGGTTGTTTCGTCATCGGTTTTGGCAAGATCGGTAGTGGGTCATGACTAGCACGTGTGTGTGTGTGTGTGTGTGTGTGTGTGTGTGTGTTAAGTAACCAGCTATGCGGAGTTAGCACACCCCCTGCTCGCCCCTTTGGTGCACCAAGTTCTAAACCCAGTTCATCGGGAACTTCCCCGTCGATTCCTTAGGACGGAGTTCAGACCACTTTTGTGCCGGGTCAGTACCCGAGAAGGAAGGATGAGCGGGCCAGTTCGGGGCACGGGGTCCTCACACACAGGTGGGCGGGCGGGAAAGGAGCTAGAAGCCCAGTGGATTGAACTGGGAACAGGAGAAGCAGTTGCGGAGCGCAGATTTAAAAGAACCACACATGTGGGTATTCAAGTACAAGCTCCAAGTTAAAGAAAGGAACACAGGGACCTACTGTAGCCAGGGGAGGGCCGAGCTGTGACAGCTCCGCTCGGCGAGGAAGGCTGAGAAGGATTTGACCTGCTACGCTTCCTTGCCCTCCGCCTTGGCGGGCGGTGAGGCGGCGGTAAAGTGCCTCTCTGCACTTGGATAACAGCCGGGAACTATGGCCTTCCTCTGCTTCTCCAGCCCTGAGGATGGATGGCCCGGCTAGTACAACTGAGGCAGCCAGCTAGCACTGGTGCTCCTAAAGCGGGTAGGACTTGTTAGGAGGACCAATCCTACTCCCTTCTCCCGAGGAGGCCACCCATCCTGGCTGAGGAACCAGCTGGAAGAGGCCAGGGTAAGTTGAGAGTAAAATGTTTTTGGAGTGCTCACCAGGCATGTGAGTGAATCATTTTATTTCCTGATTCAACAGTGGAGGAACAGGCTCCAGGTGAATGGCTGCAGTTGTCATCCATTCCCCAAACCACTGTGCCCAGGTCTGCTCCAGGTCTCAGTCCTCCATTCTGGGCCTGCAGTGGTTGAGGGTCAGTCTCTGATGTGGGACAGGGAGACAGCCACACCTCCCAGGCAGCTGGCAGCGACACATGAGAGGAGAACAGCAGAGGTAGGGCCAACCGTGGGAGAACACACTTCCAGAGCCCCAAGGGTAAAATGGCGGGACAAACAGAGGTTCCCTCTCCTAAGAAGAGTGGGACTAGATTCTAAAATTGGAGCCTGAACACCTGGGTGAGGTGGTTGCCTACCACAGGGAACTATTCTGTGGAAAAAGGAAAGAGGGGGCCAGAAAGGGACCAAGTCCTGACCAAATCGGCTTAGTGGATAGAGCTGTGGACTGAGGGGTCCCGGGTTCGATTCCGTTCAAGCGTGTACCTTGGTTGCTGGCACATCCCCAGTGCGGGGGGTGGGGGGGGGTGCAGGAGGCAGCTGGTCAATGTTTCTCTCTCGTCGATGATTCTCTTTATCCCTCTCTCTTCCTCTCTGTAAAAAAATCAATAAATATATTTTTAAAAAGAATAAAGGGAGTGAGTAAGAGCTGGAGGAAGCACCTCCATACACATACACAACCTCCTGATCAAAGTGTCTCTGGAGCACCACCGCAGCCCCCAGAGGGCTGTGCCCACTGCCCGCAGCCCCAGGCTTTCTCAGAGACATGCGGCCATCCAGGTGGGGCCGAGGGAAGCACCTGTGCCAACTGGGCTGGTGATTTTCTCCAAAACCCTTGAGGAAGGACTAGCTCCTCCCTGAGTTTGGCGATGTGGCTTTGGAAACAGGCAAACCTGGGATCAAACCTGGACGTGAACCTGGGCAAGTCACTTAACCTCTCTGGTCTAAGTTAACAACAGTAACACTCCTAGATGCTGTGAGGATTAGTACAGTGCCTGTAATGGGACTGCCCTAGCTTCGTACACAGAACAAGTCATTGTCGCTGCTCTCACTATTCATTATTTTCACTGCCCGCTGCCTGCTTTAGGGCTGTAAGGCAGTGCACCTCTGTCCTGCAGCAGGATGCCACATCATCCCACAGCCTAAGTGACCTTGCACTGGCCAAAGCTTCCGGAGACAAGAAAGGATACAGCATGTCTTGCCGGGGAGGCTGGGCCGAGGAGGCCCTGGGGGAAAGGCCCTCCAAGGAGGCCTGCAGGGTCTGGGCCATGTCATGATCCGTCAGGAGGCCCGTGCTCTGAACCTAAGGGAAGGAAAGGGCGAGGGAAACAGCCCTTTTCAGAGCCTATGCCACACAGGCCTCTCTATCCTCTACCTCCCTGGCCCCCCACCCTGGGCTCCAGCTCCCCACTGGCTCCTCCCGCCCTCCACCAAGCACTCCCACCCTCCACCGAGAAGATGGTATGGAGTGTAGCATCATGGCGGCTACATGCACCCCTTCCCACACACCTGCAGGAGGAAGCCACACAGAGCCTGGAGCGTGGTGGTGGAGAGGGCGGAGAGGTCGGCCGAAGCTGCGCCTTGCAGAACCAGACCCACCTCTTCCAGAGAGAAGACGCTGCTGCCCCGGAACCGCACAAACTGGCCCCGGAGAGAAGCCCCACACAGGCGTGATGCCGCATCGCCTCCATCCAGGTGCCCCCCTGTACTCCCGCTGTGCTCAGCACTGGCTGAGAACACAGCTCTGTGCCCCAGCACCCGTCAAGGAGCTCAGAGTTGGTGAGCACGGGTGGGGTTATGTCATGGGAGAGGGGTCAGTGAGGCAGACTGTGACACCTCCAAGTTGGCCCTGCGGAACCCTTCACCACCCCCACCCCTCTGCCTTGCACCTCCCACTCCTGGCCAAGAGGGACTGTGTGTGTGGTAACCCAGACACACCACCGTGGGTTCATGTCCTGCTGCTCCCGCTTCACTACCTGGATTACATCTCCTCCTCCTCACTCACTAATCCTTCAAGCCTCAGCTAAAACATTCACGAATGAATGTTCTTTCGTTGTTCTTTTATTCACCTCCCCCTCCCAGCTCTGGCAGCGTTCTTGCTCTCTTCTTTAGTCACTTACTCTCTTCCCAGGCCTCGCACTGATTCCTCATGACCCACTTCACTCACTCACAGGTCACTGCTGTTTATCCAGTGGACACTTACTGCCCATCAGGCACGTAGCCTATCTTCTGCTCTACCACCAATAACATCACACTTGAACTTGTCTGTCTCCCTACACTGAGAGGTCCTTAAAGGCAGAGCGTGTGGCTCACCGGCATCCTTGGCACCTATCAGAGGACCTGGCGTGTGGCGGGCTCTGATCAATGTTTGAGTGAGTGAATGGAGAAGGATGCTCTGGCTCTCCCGGGGTGAGGAGATGCGGACGTCGATAGGAATTCTCTGGGCGGGCCTCTTGTAGGATGAAGGCCTGCCAGCCCCCTCTACCTTCTTTGAGGATCAGGGTTACCTAAGGTAAGGTGTCCCTGGCCTCCTCGGGACCACTCAGCTCACGACATTGTTCAGACCAAAGACCATCCTTCCTGCACTTACCAGAGTCAGGAGCCTCAAGATCTCAGGTCTGAGGAAGGAATTCTCTCCAGCATCCAGGAGGGTGAACAGTAAAAACCGGTTCCAGGGCTGGGAGGCCACATGCTGTGCTGTGGGAAACACCAGTCACCCGGAGTGTCAGCGCTGCTTTTCCAAAGGCCGGGGGACATGACTAAGGAGGACTCCCTCCTATTGGCTCAGAAAGGGCTACTCAGCTAGAGGCAGGGTGTGGCCAGGCTGACCCCGGGGAGTTTCTTTCCTCCTGGGCTTCTGTGCTGCCTGGCTCCGGAGACTATATCTCCCACCATGTGGGAGGGAAGCACCAGGAGAGCTCTGCCAGTTAAGAGCTTTGTGATCGTGGCTGGGTATGTGGCCTGACCTCCTGAACCTCAGTGTCCTCATCTATAAACTGGGCATAACGGTGCCATGCAGTGTTGGTAAGAGAATTACACAAAACGAGTGTGATTCACGGAACAGGGGACGCAGTTTGGAGCAGGAAGTGGCAGGGCTGGCCTCCTCCCATCTCCCTCCGGAACATCAGAGAAGGGGAGGGCTTCTACCCATGTCTGGGCTCCTGGCATGCAGGTAGTCAAGCAAGGACTCCAGGCAGCCGACGCAGGCGTGGGACAACAGAGGGTCCTTCTGCAAGAAATCAGAAAACACAAATGTGTATGTCAGGTTTTGTTACCCATGGGTTTTGGTGCCAACCAAGGAAAAAAATTGGTTTTCAGAACAATTCGAATTTCATAACTTCAGATGTAATAGAAAACTAATACATCATGTGACCTAGAAATCCCACTCCTAGGTGTTTACTCAAGAGAAATGAAAACATATATCCACAGCAAGACTTGTCTTCAGTATTATGAGCAACTTAATTCATAACAGCAAAAAATATGGACATCCCAAATACCTATCAATAGATCAATGGTTAAACAAACTGTGACATAGCCATATAATGGGCTACTGCTCATCCATAAAAAATGAAGTGATGATAAAACAATATGGATGAATCTCAAGTGTTACTTAAGTGAAAGAAGCTGGACACAAGACTACATACTATATGATTTCATTCATATGAAATTCTAGAAATGGGCCCTAGTTGGTTTGGCTCAGTGGATAGTCAATCTGTGGACCAAAGAGTCCCAGGTTCGATTGTGGGTCAAGGGCACGGGGCTTCAGTTGGGTTGCAGGCTCCTCCCTGGCCTGGGCCCTGGTCAGGGTGCATGTATTATAGAAGACAACCAATCAATGTGTTTCTCTCACATCAATATTTCTGTCCTTCCCTCTCTCTTCTACTCTCTCTAAAAATCAATGTAAAAATAGCTTCAGGTGAGGATTAAAAATATAT